GCCATTCAACAGAGAATAATTGGTGAGCAAATATGGATGAGTACCTGGCGTACATTTCTGAAGATATCACACTGCTGTCAAAACGTCGAATAAAATAGATCTCTATTGTCTACGGTTGGTTGATACCCTCCTTACTCAACCCGTCCTCGACTCAAGTCCATTACATCAAGCGGTCGACCTCACAGACGCATTCATAAATTTTTACATGCTGTTCATTCAACATGGGAACTTTCTTATATATAAATTAATATTATAATATATTAGTATCTTAAGATATAGACATAGGTTAGGTTAGGTTCGATGTTTAGGTTCTGTTGGTGATTATTTGTGTTTGTAGTACGTGGGTGAAGCATTTCCAGCGTAGTGTCAGTTGTGAGTCGTGTGTAAACCGTTTTTCATTCATAAACAAGAGGTTTGGCGGGTGCATGGAATCACTTTTGAGTCTTTGTTTGGAGGACGGGCTGTTTCAACCAATCCTCGACTCAAGTCCATTACATCCAGCGGTCGACCCCACAGACGCATTCATAAATTTTAATATGCTGTTCATTCAAAACGGGAATTTTCTCAAGTATAAGTTAATATTATAATATATTAGCATATTGTGCATATATAGGCATAGGTTAGGTTAGGTTAGGTTAGGTGTTTAGGTTCTGTTGGCGATTATTTGTATTTGTAGTACGTGGGTGAAGCATTTATAGCGTTGTGATTCGAACAAAATTCGTCAGTGAAACACTTGTTCCGGATATGTTCGAACGTCAGCAGTTGTGAGTCGTGTGTAAACCGCTTTTCATTCATAAACAGTTTGGCGGGTGCATGGAATCACTTTTGGGTCTTTGTTTGGAGGACGGGCTGTAATCGCCCATGGAACCTAAATACTTAACCTAACCTAACCTACGCCTAACTATGCATAAAACTTTGATGAATTACAACATTAATTTAAATATGAGAAGAAACCCATTATTAATAAAGAGTACGTTACAATTGATGGACGTGTCTTGGGAGACTGACGTGGCATTGACGATCCTGGTCTGAGGACGGATTTGTTCGAAAAGCATTTTTATTCATTAACAAGGAGTTTGGTGGCTGGATTAACGAGTGTTTGACCTTTGTCTATGAGGACGGGCTACGGTAGACACAAGGCAAGAAATGAAACATATTAGAGCGCAAGGCGAGGCCTTCCATCTGTAATAATTTGCAAGAATTACATTTATAACCAGAATTACATATATGAATTGAAATCAATTATGTTTCGGTCCATTATGGGCCTCGATGTGACGACGTTTCTGTCCGTTATGGTCCATTATGTGACGACGTTTCGGTCCCTTATAGTTCCTTATGTGACGACGTTTCTGTCCGTTATGGTCCCTTATGTGACGACGTTTCGGTCCATTATGTTTCCTTATGTGACGACGTTTCGTTCCGTTATGTTTCCTTATGTGACGACGTTTCGGTCCGTTATGTTTCCTTATGTGACGACGTTTTGGTCCGTTATGTTTCCTTATGTGACGACGTTTCTGTCCGTTATGGTCCCTTATGTGACGACGTTTCGGTCCGTTATGTTTCCTTATGTGACGACGTTTCGTTCCGTTATGTTTCCTTATGTGACGACGTTTTGGTCCGTTATGATTCCTTATGTGACGACGTTTCTGTCCGTTATGGTCCCTTATGTGACGACGTTTCTGTTCGTTATGGTCCCTTATGTGACGACGCTTCGGTCCGTTATGGTTCCTTATGTGACGACGTTTCTGTCCGTTATGGTCCCTTATGTGACGACGCTTCGGTCCGTTATGGTCTGTTATATGACGGAGTTTCAGTCCGTTATGGTTCCTTATGTGACGACGTTTCTGTCCGTTATGGTCCCTTATGTGACGACGTTTCGGTCCGTTATGGTTCCTTATGTGACGACGTTTCGGTCCGTTATGGTCCCTTATATCACGGCGTTTCGGCCCGTTATGGTTCCTTACGTAACGACGTTTCGGCCCGTTATGGTTCCTTACGTAACGACGTTTCGGTCTGATATGGTCCCTTATGTGACGACGTTTCAGTCTGATTATGAAACCTTATCAAGAAGTGACACAGCAGGAGTTGTGTCACTAAGGATCCACGACCGAAACATTGACATATTCATTTGACATGTGTTGTTTGGGTTACACGTTTCAGGCACTTTATTGTGACATTACCTGCACAAGAATTAAATTTGTTAAGAGCACACAAAAATAAATTAAACGTCGACCAGACCACACAATAGAAGGTGAAGGGACGACGACGTTTTGGTCCGTCCTGGACCATTATCAAGTGAAGACAATCAACTTGAGAATGGTCCAGGACGGACCGAAACGTCGTCATCCCTTCACCTTCTAGTGTGTGGTCTGGTCTACATTCTTCAGCCACGTTATTGTGACTCATCGCCTGCAAAATAAACGTCATTTGCTAACAAAATATTTATTGCAAGAACCGACAAAAACTTACAGACCAACATCAAACAAGAGTCAGATAAACGTATTTCTAAACAATTTCAGAGATTTTTAACGTTTGCTACAGTATTCAATTTTAATAGGGAGACAGTCTTCGTGCATATTTAACAATCGTCCTCACTCAACATGCGATTGTGAACTTCTCAGTGCAAAAATGTAAGTCCTTAACGCTAAATATCTAGTTATTAAATCACGACTATATTATATACTTAATATATGTTCTTATGAGCCATTGGTGCACGGTATACGTTTATCGATCATAACTTGCGAAAGAGAACTAAGACATCCATCAATAATAAGTTCATGACATCAATTTACTGAAAAAAAGTATGTGAAAAATAATATGTGGAATGTATAGCTGAATTCAATACTGCTACCATTAAGCAGGAGTATAGAACTTCGACAAGGCTATTCTTATGTATTGGAGATTTGGCTTAACGCCACTGAAGAAGGAATAAGGACAAATATATACGTTTTCGATCATATCTTCAACCACAACTTATTCACCTGGATTAGGTTCCGAAAGCTCCGTGTCCACCTGCAACACGTGGATGTCACTAGCAGATGAACCTAAAACTCTGCTTCATAACAAATTCCAACCAAATAACAAAAAATTTTATGAATGAAACAATTTTTTAAATAAATTTAATACAAAAGTATTTCTGAATAGTTGCAATTTTGATATATAGAAAAAACAATCCTCTCCTTCTTCCTTACTGATATTTCCTTCAACCCATAAACCTCCCACTGTCCCCATCAATAATCCAAGCATGTAAACCTCGCAGAGGTCTTCCAATATTCCCATAAACCTTCATCATCTCTACTCTGGACACTCACTCACAACAATCTGGCTCTCTCTCTCTCTCTCTCTCTCTCTCTCTCTCTCTCTCTCTCTCTCTCTCTCTCTCTCTCTCTCTCTCTCTCTCTCTCTCTCTCTCTCTCTCTCTCTCTCTCTCTCTCTCTCTCTCTATTCGCTCGTCTCGAGCATCGAAGGAAGTCTGGCAGAGGATTGATGTCCATAAATAAACATTCAGAAGTACTTCATACATTTCGAAAATCGACAATCCAACAAACTCACACTTTCGTCATAGGAAACCCTCCTGACAACTTTAATAATTGTTTTTAAAAATTTTCTGAGATAATCGGAAATAATTGTGAATCTTTGTTCACCTGAATCTTCGGTGTGTGATGAAACCTTGCCATACTTTGCAGGCTTCTCGATGACATACTGGGACATGCCTACATATTGATGAAGATTAAGCCACCCAAGAGGTGGTACAGGCATGAATAGCTCGTAAGTGGTAGATTTTTTGTTTAGTAAATGTATACTGAGCTGTGTGTTGAAGTCGCTATCGCGGGGAAGGATACTGCTTGACAGTATTTATGAGGGTGTCCTGCTGCTGGACACCTTTTTCGACCAGTTGATTGGCAGTATTGATGGCTTCAGAGTGGCTACTACAAGATTCAGGAACTCTTAATGCTCTTCTAAGGTCGTTGGCTGCTTTACATTCCTGGAGATAGTGAAGTATGTGCTTTTCTGTGATTGTTTGACTGAAGATGCATTCCCCTTTTCTGGGTTCACCAATCCCCCAGTTTGGTGAAACTGGGAAGTTGGTGACACCTTACCATCTGTGATATATAGGGTACAACCTATGCTGGCGGTCTTGCTGGCGTGCCCTTGTACATGCAGCGATGCAGTCGACCGCTGACCTTTCTACTCGCCGCCAATGTAAACATGTTACGAGCCGTCATTATCATCACGTTGAAAGCTAACCCTCTACAGACTGTTCCTACCTTACTCCATGGCAGAGCAACCAAGGTCTAGACGCTCTAAGAATCATCTCCGTAAAATTTATTACCATTCTGATAAGCTAATGTGAACAAAAATGTCTTATGGGTTAACTTGTTTATGCTAATAAAAAGATTTCTGTTTTATTTTCGATCTATGAAAGAACATACAAAATCCTGCCTGCAGCTATAATTATATATGTGTTTCTTTAGTCCAACTGGTTCATGCTGAAGTTAATATGCCAACATTTTTGCATTTAAAAAAAATATTTTTATGGAGAAAACCAAACGGAATAATTTATGGTATATTAAATTGAAAATCGTGTTGCGATACAGCAAAAAAAAAATAGTTAATGTTCATATGAAATTTATAGATCATATTAACCAAGCAAACGTAGATGTTCCTGGGGGGATTTGAATTGATTATTAGTTCAACTAATTCCATTAGCAGGATATCAGAGTTTATTTTTGGAGAAACATTTTTGCGCATTATATGAAATTGTATTCAATTTGTTAAAATTCGTAGAAACGGTGTTTCATGCTTCAATGTGTTCCCTGCGTTACACGGTTTGAGACACGTGTTGGGTCTCCATAGAGCCTTGTGTTTCTTTGTGCCTGAACGTCAATAACGAGTTCGCACACACGCGTGTGTACTCATTCTTGACGTTCAGGTTGGTAGCGTTCATCACCTGTTCTCGTTCCTTGGCCAGCTGGTGCCCCTCTACGGCGTTCTCCTTCTCATTCATCAGTTGCTGTAGATTCTGCTTGAAGGCCTCTTCTTGCTCGTTTACGTGCTGCTGTTGCTTCTTCTAGACAGCCTCTTTCTGCTTGTTCCCTTGCTGTTGCTTCTTCTAGACCGCCTCCTTCTGCTTGTTCCCTTGCTGTTGCTTCTTCTAGACGGCCTCCTTCTGCTTGTTCCCATGCTGTTGCTTCTTCTAGACGGCCTCCTTCTGCTTGTTCCCTTGCTGTTGCTTCTTCTAGACGGCCTCCTTCTGCTTGCTCCCATGCTGTTGCTTCTTCTAGAAAGCCTCCTCCTGCTTGTTCCCTTGCTGTTGCTTCTTCTAGACGACCTCCTTCTGCTTGTTCCCATGCTGTTGCTTCTTCTAGAAAGCCTCCTCCTGCTTGTTCCCTTGCTGTTGTTTCTTCTAGAAAGCCTCCTCCTGCTTGTTCCCTTGCTGTTGCTTCTTCTAGACGGCCTCCTTGTGCTTGTTCCCTTGCTGTTGGTGTTGCTGTTGCTGCTGCTGCTGCTCCTTCACAGACTCCTGTTCCTTCATCTGAAGCCGTTGCTGCTTCTTGAGGATCCGCTTTCTCCTTCGCTTTATCGTTCTCATTATCTAAGTAGCCATCCTTGTTCTCATTGTCGTTGAGTCCGTAATCAGTCATATCCCAACATAACGGTCAATATTCCATTATCAGGATTCGCTACACTGAGTGTAAATATCTGGTTTAGTCCTCGGAATACATTTCCTCTCTATATTATAACACCGCGATAAACACCCATACCTAACACTCCTTTCATACATTATGTTCTGTTATCATTGTTCCTTGAAAAACCGCCTTGGCTGCTTACACTACATACATGTTTCATCGTAGTTGATGTTCGAGATCTTTGTGCAAATTTGTCCATTTAAATGCAATGGAGGGCGTGATCGTATACTGGTAGGTGTATTCTTGTATAAAAAATGACGCATCGAAAGAGGGAGATAAATTTCAGAATGTGTATGAATATTGTATGTAAAAGAGAGAGAGAAAGAGAGAGAGAGAGAGAGAGAGAGAGAGAGAGAGAGAGAGAGAGAGAGAGAGAGAGAGAGAGAGAGAGAGAAAGTGGATGAGTATGTACGTGTGTGTGTGTGTGTGTGTGTTTACTAGTTGTGTTTACTAGTTGTGTTTTTACGGGGGTTGAGCTTTGCTCTTTCGGCCCGCCTCTCAACTGTCAATCAACTGTTTACTAACTACTTTTTTTTTTTTTCCCACACTACACACACACACCCCAGGAAGCAGCCCGTGACAGCTGACTAACTCCCAGGTACCTATTTACTGCTAGGTAACAGGGGCATTCAGGGTGAAAGAAACTTTGCCCATTTGTTTCTGCCTCGTGCGGGAATCGAACCCGCGCACAGAATTACGAATCCTGCGCGCTATCCACCAGGCTACGAGGCCCCCACACCCTCGTGTGTGTGTGTGTGTGGGTGTGTGTGTGTGTGTGTGTGTCCCCTCGTTTTTTATCTGACCAAGCCTCCAGGTCAGATAAAAAAAAACTGTATAGTTATGTACTAGTTACATATCATTTGTATTTATTATATATGTACGTATATTTATATTATATATATTGTATATAATATATACTAGTTATATACGGGTAATATTTATATATAACTATATACTATATTGTTATATACTATAATTAAACTTTCTCTATTAAATTCTCTGCGAGTGAAAGTTTGAAAACCGTTTTGGTATTTTTAGAAATTCAGTTATCTTTTTTTATAATTGGTCAAGCAACTGAAGTGTTTGGGCACTAGTTTAGTATTGCAACCCTCGTTTGATGCTACGAGGGTTGAAATTGTTCTATTTGCGTAGAGAAAATGTCAGCTGAGTGGAAGTTGCAGAGAACCAGAGTTCATGGACATTATTAAATGCTTGCAGAGAAGCAACATTTTTGTTTATTTTAGAGTGTTGTGATAGACGTCGCTGAATTGGGAGTAGTAGTAAGGAGCCGGTCGGCTGAGCGGACAGCACACTGGACTTGTGATCCTGTGGTCCTGGGTTCGATCCCGGGCGCCGGCGAGAAACAATGGGCAGAGTTTCTTTCACCCTATGCCCTTGTTACCTAGCAGTAAAATAGGTACCTGGGTGTTAGTCAGCTGTCACGGGCTGCTTCCTGGGGGTGGAGGCCTGGTCGAGGACCGGGCCGCGGGGACACTAAAAAGCCCCGAAATCATCTCAAGATAACCTCAAGATAACCTCCATTCTCAATATAAGTATATCAATGAGTGGGATTATCAAACATATATATCGGTTAGGAAGCGCCCCAAATTAGTTGCTTGTATTCCATGACGGATTTAATATGTGAGTTGTGACGTGTTTAGTGCGAATTAGCTTCGAAATCCTTAACATGTATAGGAAACGTCGAGATTTCGCATCTCTCTGGCTAAAATATTTGTCGATGACTTAAACGTTAAATTTTCATGAAAAAATTCACAAGGGCCGAGATGAGAGTTCGAACCTACGCCCGGGATCGTTCAGGATCATAGGCTCGAACCCTCATCACGGCTCCTCATCACTGAGGATTTGCTCATTTAATAAATCATGCTATTGTGATTTTTGTGTATATTTAATTTCCATATCAACCCTTCATGAGATATGTATATCTGGTTCAAAACAAATTGATAGGGCAGATAAAGACAGGCTATTTAACACAAGGGGAACACACACAAGGGGTCACAGGTGGAAATTTAGCTCCCCAATGAACCACAGAGATATTAGAAAAAACTTTTTCAGTGTCAGAATAGCTGACAAATGGAATGTATTAGTTAGTGATGTGGTGGAGGCTGACTCCATACACAGTTTCAAATGTCGGTATGATAGTGCCTATTTGGCTCAGGAACCTGTACATCAGTTGATTGACCAACTTAGGCGGGACCAAAGACCCAGAGCTCAACCCCCCCCCCCCCCAAGCACAACTAGGTGAGTACACACACACACACATCTCAGGAACCTGCACACCAGTAGATCGACAGTTGAGAGGCAGTGCCAAAGAGCTGAAACTCAATTCCCGCGAGCAGAAATAGGTGAGTACCCACACACTTACCCATCCCAAGGATGCTGCACAGAACAGCTGTGTAACTCCCAGATACCTTACGACAAGGTTCTCAAAGGCATCAGCTGAAAGCAAAAAAACTACCTAAATCGTATATATTTTGGCCGGGTATTTAACCCGTGACTCTTAATTGTAGGTTGAGAACGTAATTGCACCCGTGAATTTTTGTTTTCAATACAAGTGCCCATATGTTTCAGAAGTTTGAGACAACTGCTCTCAGGATATGCAAAAATAGCACACAACCATTAAAAGGAAAAATATCTCAATTCCGTTACTTAATGTTGTGATATTACCAGTAATGGAATTTCATTTGCGAAGTGTTGGTTCTTAACCACGTTCCTGGCGCTACTTGGTGGGATTACAGCAACTCCCACATCCAGTAGTGAAAAGATGTTAAGTACCTTGTTTGCCTAAGCAAAATAAAAACATTGAAAACCTCAGGGATAAATGACAGGACAATCTCTCTCACACACAAATATTCACACATAAAAACACACACACAAACACTCACACACAGAACACACACACATGTGTGTGTGATATGGACCCCAGCATGGAGTCCATATCTAGTCAAGGATAAGACTAAACTGGAAAAGGTTCAAAGGTTTGCCACCAGACTAGTACCCGAGCTGAGAGGTATGAGCTACGAGGAGAGACTACGGGAATTAAACCTCACTTCGGTGGAAGACAGAAGAGTTAGGGGGGGACATGATCACCACATTCAAGATTCTGAAGGGAATTGATAGGGTAGATAAAGACAGTCTATTTAACACAAGGGGAACACGTACAAGGGTACACAGGTGGAAACTGAGTGCCCAAATGAGCCACAGAGATATTAGAAAGAACTTTTTTAGTGTCAGAGTGGTGGACAAATGGAATGCATTAGGAAGTGATGTGGTGGAGGCTGACTCCATACACAGTTTCAAGTGTAGATATGATAGGCTCAGGAATCTGAGCCCGATAGGCTCAGGAATCTGTACACCTGTTGATTGACGGTTGAGTGGCTGAATACATATTTCTCAATCTTAAACAAAAAGTAATTGAAAACGACTATCTCTTTTAAGTTGCACTTCTTCACATATATACGTTAAGCTACATCACTCAGCCTTTTAATGGTAAATAATATGTTAATGGCAGAATATATCCAATATATTCAATAATATGTTTAATGGCAGAATATTTCCAAAACAAAATAACACTGCTTTAAACACTGATAACATCTGAGAAAATTTACAGGATTCGTGATAAGGATTCGAACCTATGAGCTGCGTATTCCCACACCCACGCTCTAGGCGACAAGTTCACGACAATGGCAAGGATGAACCATGTAGTGGCGTAGTCGTCTGATGCGTGTGTCTGGGAATACCCAGATGCATAGGTTAGAATCCTTATCACGGATTCTGTGGATTTTCTCATTGATATATTACGTTACTGTGATTTCTCTGTGTATTGATATCATCTGCTCCATATATATATATTCCAAGGTTCACATTCATTCAACTGAAGTGCAGTTTTTCAACAAAACATTTTCCAACTATTCAGTGCCACTAACTTTGCCTACAGTTATTCAGCCTACGGTCCTTAACACTCTCAAACTCATGTCAAACATCGTATTCAGAATATTCAGGTAATAACGTCATTATCTTCTAGTACTTACACCTTTTATAAAGTTATTTTAGGTTTCTACGATCGTCATTCAGTATATATATATGTATCCTATATAAATATTTATATATTTTTTTACCTAAAAGGGGTACCACCTCTGGTGCAATTGAGGGGACACATAGCCTCGGAGAAGAAAATAAAGAGTACTCAGAGAAGACCTTGTGGATCCTCACTGAACATTTTGATATTGTCTTCTCCTACCACCCCTATTCTTTTAGTAAGTATGTATATATATCTAACTTTATTTTAAAATTTCATTACACAAAAAGGGTTACAACATTGGTTACATGCAAAGTACAAGACTACTTATCACAAATTGTATAGCTCCTCCAGCTTCTCAGATGGTGGGCAGGAACCATGGATGCAGTGACCATTTCCTCTCTGGATTGCCACACTATGGCGCTGAAAGAGAAAACTGGCAGCTCTAGGGTTTCTAGTGGTTTCAATTAGCCTGGACCCCAGTTCCTTCAAAAAACTATAATATATATATATATATATATATATATATATATATATATATATATATATGTCGTACCTAGTAGCCAGAACTCACTTCTCAGCCTACTATGCGCGGCCCAATTTGCCTATTAAGCCAAGTTTTCCTGAATTAATATATTTTCTCTAATTTTTTTCTTATGAAATGATAAAGCTACCCATTTCATTATGTATGAGGTCAATTGTTTTTTTATTGGAGATAAAATTAGAGTAGATATATGACCGAACCTAACCAACCCTACCTAACCTAACCTAACCTATCTTTATAGGTTAGGTTAGGTTAGGTAGCCGAAAAAGTTAGGTTAGGTTAGGTTAGGTAGGTTAGGTAGTCGAAAAACAATTAATTCATGAAAACTTGGCTTATTAGGCAAATGGGGCCTTGCATAGTAGGCTGAGAAGTGCG